GTTCATTTCTGCAATGCCTTTGCACCCTCTTATGGTCATTTCAGGATCAACGTTATTGGAGGGAATTTATTCAAGGCTATTCAAAGGTTTCATTTTGTAAATTTGAATTTTTACTAGAATAATGACATTTACACACTTTACACCTTTAAATCTGTGATTTCATAATCCTAAATATTAATTGAAGCTCACACATATCCACAGTGTTGAGAAAACAGAAGTACATAAAGTTGAGGTTACTAGGATAATAATTAGGAAACACTCCATACTTTCCAATTATGTCTGACATATTAACAAGCTAATAAGAATTTCAGAATCTGCCTCCTAGGCACAAAATGATTCAACAGCAAGACCATCATTAGGTACCAACACTCTTATTTCCTGATACCGGCATGTTGAAATCAACTCAGAATCTGTTTAGGCCTATTTATACAAAGCCCGAAAATGAATTCTAACCTAGTACGTCTGAAAAAGAACAGCAGAAATGTGGCTCTCCTTCTTTAAGAAGTAGCAAGATAAAACATACATATACACACTCACACTTCATAGCACAATTGATTCATATTTGTCTGATAAACATTAAAATACTTTAACCCAAAGAGCATAAAGAAGGCTAATGATCAATCGTCACCTTTTTTATATTAATTTGACACACATAGTAAAAAAAAGTAGACTGCCTTATTCCTTACCTGACTCAAAATCTCCTTCCTTCTTCTAGTAACAATTTCATGTTTAGAAAACATGTATGAAAATGTGAAAAGTTTTAACAGTAAACTTTATTTCTGTGTTCATGCTGCTGACAGCGATAAGGACACCTGCTTTCTGGTGAAGAGAAACAACTGTTCAAACTGTACATATGGCAGAGGAACTACTCTTGAAAGTGTTTATGAGGCGGATTGTCGCATTTCCATATAATTTTCTTTCCAGGGTAACTGCTACACACTTTAAGAAATTTTTAGCTTGAAGAAAAGTATAATTTGAGCCCTCTATGGGTTTTAAATTCCTAACAAACTCAGTCACATTTTTTTTTATCACAAAAGTACTTCAGAACCTATCCATATATCTATAAATCAACCGCTTTACTTTCAGAATACAATTGCTATTATTAAAGTCACAAAAGAGCCCTAACTGTGTGAGAACCACCATAACTGAATAATATTTGAGGGAACAAAAAAATACAACTTCATCAAGCAGAAGCCAGATATTATATAGAATGATATTCCAAATTTTTAAGGTTTTTCTCAATTTCCAAATTATAAATGAAATTTAAAAATAAAATTTTAGTTGGTCCATCTAAAAATGTAATTATCTCTGACAGCAGATAATAGCACTTAGAAAGATCACCAATCCCTGCAAGGTATCAATCCATAGGGTGCTTCTGTGTAATTCAATTCAGTGTGTCAGATGTGGTGACAGCAAATATATGCTTCAGAACATTAATGCTTTTTCCAGTTCCCAAACAATTATTTATCTACCGTTATATTTTCAAACAATCTAAAAATCCTACAAGTCATCTCTCTTATAATGCAGCCATGTATTTTATCTAAAATTCCTCATTCATATTTCATAACCACTGACAAATCTGATATGAAGTTGCCAAATGGTCACTATCAGTAACTCTTCTTGCAGGCATTGTTTCACAACAACTGTTGACAAATGGAATCCACTTTGCAAGTATGTGTCTCCATTTAAAAAAAGAGAGTATGTTTTGTTAATGAGTATTGCAAATACTCATGTACAACTGTATTCTGTTCTATAAAAGTCTGGTGTGCAAATACTTGAGCAGAACTTACCGAATCACTAATTTTTAATAACTTTATGTCAAATAGTTTAAATGTATGTTCAAGCATATAAAAATAGCAAACACACCAGCACCAATAACCATTTAGGAAACCAATCATGAGGGACGTTTTAAAGCAGAGTAACCCAAGAGTCCTAAACTACTTAGCATAAAATTCCAGGTCCTTCAAGATCAGCACATCTCATTGATTGAATAGTTGGCTCTCTTCCGCAGGAATAATTCCCTCCCTTCCTTTAGTATACCATTATATATTGGAACACATCACACGGTAATGTGAAATATTTGTTTGAATGTCTGTGTCTCTCAATAGACCACATTATGAATTCCTTGAAGGCAAAAAAGTGGGTGGATTCATTTTTGTATCCCCAGCACCTGGCAACAAGAAGGTGGAGAAGCAACACGACGTTTTGGAGGTCCTACTGACCTGTATTTTAATCCTGGGCTCAAGAGCTTAACCTTCCAGTTTCTTATCTGTAAACAGGGAATAAAACACCTTGGAAGATTGTTGTTGGGGGAAAAAAAAGTGCCTATAAAGTAACTAACCCAGTGCCATAGAAGGTACTATTATATGTACTCAACAAATGTTAATTGAACTGATCTATCACTGTCATTCATGCACCTCATGCACAGCCACAATCCGTCAGTGGAGGCTTGCATGTTGCTATGATGCTGAGCAGATTTTAGCAGAGCTTTCAAACTAAGACAGACTAGAAAGAAAGGCCTGTCAATCTACATCCAAAAATAAGCCAATGAAAACCCTATAGATCACAAGGTCCACTCCACAACTGATTATGTAGATGGTGCAAGACCAGGCAGCATTTGGTTCCGTTGTGCATGGGGTCACTGTGAGTTGGAGGTCTACTCTACGGCCGCTAACATCAAAAACAACAAATCATTGTAGCTCTTTCCATTTACACATTAACTCAAACCCTTTCCAGAATTCTCAAAATATAAATCACAATCTTGTTCATTTTTACTTTTTTTCATATTCTGTAATTTAAACAGAACCATATAGCTATAAAAATAAAGAATGTTACTGTGTGTTCAAGCAGTTTAGGGATTTGAGGGCAGTCAGTTCAATTTCTTCCAGAACTGAAATAGTTTAAAATGTCCTAAGAAATGAGAACTAAAGTTCAGGACACTTAGCTTTATTTTCTCTTCTATTTCTCACCAAAAGGGGGGGAAAATGCTTCAATATTTAAAAGACTAAGGATAATGGATGTGCATAATTTTGCTTTAACATACATTTCTGCCTTTTAAACCCAGTTTAAACTCAGTGAAAGGCCAAGAACACAGACTTAATTATGCAGAAGAAAAGATGCTTTAACTGCAGTGCACCTTCAGTAGACAAATTCAAAGAAAGCAGTTCTGCCTGAAACATTTACAAATCAATTCATTGTATTGATTCGGAATGAGACGTGCTATAATTTAAAACATAGATTACCACAGGCCGAACTTTATAAAGTTCTATTTTTAAGGCACTTTCACTTGGCTATGAACTCGATCGGAGCATTTTCAAGAAACAGTGATTTACCAAACCTTTAAAAAAGCTACGATATGTAAGTAACAGGTGTTAATAGGGATAATGATTAAATATTTCAACATTAACCAAACTTCAAAAGTACGCAAAAAAAACTGTGTGCTTGAGATAACCAATAACTTCAATAAATCATTGATATCTTACTGAGAACAATGTGTTTCTATTTCAAGACGATATCCCACATACAATGAATAGACTGTTTCCGTCTCATTTCCTAGTTCTAATTTAATTCACTATGAAAAAATGAAGGTCTGATTCTGTTTTGCTTGTTTTTCCTAGAATGAGCTGTTCCTTGGGGGAATCTGTCCTATTCAAACTTCCTGATAACTTGCTATTTTGTCTTAATGCAGCTTAAATATTTTGTCATTTTTTTCCACTTATCAGTCTCAAAATGCAAAGATAGTAATAGTTACCTGTACATAGGGTCTTTCTCAAAAAGCACTGAGACTTAGGTTCAAAAAAAACCTGTCTAATTTTAATTACACATCAAACAAATGGCACAGGAGGTCAACTATTCAGTTAATTAGAGAAGTAGCTAAAATACATGCTTCTTGGATAAGACGGAGTATTTGTCAAGGTCATTTTCTTCATAATAAAATATAGGATGTGGTGAATGCCCCCGCCAAAAAAAATTCAGGAGTCCCCAGAATGTAAGTAAATAAAATAACAATTTGCAACTGAGTCAGTCCTGAATATTCCTGAAATCAAGACAGAATGTAACAAGGTCTTTTCACACTATTAATTAAATTTCCTTCAATGAAATCTCTCTTGGGCCTCGGTTTCTGCATTTGAGTAATGATCACATTAAATTACATGATTTGAGAAATTTTTTTCTAATATAAGTGTTCTAAGTGCTTAATAAGTTAAACAATTACATTAATAACAGAAGTCAACAAATTTGCTGTTAGCTGAAGTCTAGATGATAGATGGACATATACACATATGAGTAAATAAGCAGTATATGCAAGTTATTCAAACTCACGTACAGAGCTATTAAAATCGAAGAATATTAAACAGTTTCTGGTATCTTAGCCTCAAAAGTCCTCATCGTTTCTAGTAATACCACACAAAACTTGTAAAACATCAGACTACCTCAAAGGAAACAAAAATTCTCTTTTCCCTCCTTAGGTTCCTTTTTTTTAAAATAAAAGAAGAAAATGCAACAAAATTATGGCCTTTGAAACAAATTGTAACTAAAGAGAATTTTAAAAATTATTCCCACAAATGTCAAGAGTACTTTAAGCTTTCTAAAATAGATTACCCTGTTGAACCATAGTAGCTGAGTTTTATAAGAGCTTTCTTGAAGTTTGCCACAAATTTTCAAAGTAATTGTATTTTCAACAATAGAAATAAGTGATGTCGCTGTGACATTTTTCCTACAAATCTTAAAAGGACTCAAACTGTATAATCTTTCTAATTGTAAGTATTCAGATTGTCTTTCTTGTTATAAAACAAGCAAAAAACAAGGATAAGACAAGCTGGCTTTTCTCAGTTCTTTGACCCCATAAATAAAACAAAATTCAACCGCAAAACCTATACTTTTAAATACATTTATCTTAGCATTTTTCAACTTATTCCTAAAATAATTATTAAAATTAAATAAATTTGAGATAAATGTTGATTTTATTTAAAGATTCCTTATGGACTATTTTTATTACTCACTCTGGTTTGAAAGATGTCATCCCTTTTCCCAAGTTGATTGCATATCCAGAGTCACAACCTTTGCTAGCACTGCCACCTGCTGTTGACTCTAATTCATTTTCCAGCACATGGAAATAGAAATAAAAAGAAATAGAATAGCATGAATTAACTGGTCTGGAAAACAAGCATCAACACAAATTTTAAAGACAACTTGTGTGCAAGCTAATATTATAGTTTCTCCTGACAACAGGTAAAGTTATATCTACACTGTAATCAGCCTCTTACTATAAAAGAGGAACATAATAGGCGACTGAAAAGGCCCCAGAGCTTTTTGGTTACTCTCAATTGATTGAAGATGTATTTTTTTACAAGAGCAATTTTTACATGACAAAAAAATAGGTGGATATATTACCAAAAAAAAAAAAAAGCAATAAAGTTCTGAGAGAAATTCACCCATTTCCTTTTAATTGAGTAAACCCTATCTTATAAATGTAGGAACATAAGCACATATGTAGGCAGATATAAGCAAATGTGACAAAAAAATTGATGAATCCAGGTGAAGGATATAGTGGTAATTATTGTTCTATCTTTTCCACCTTCCTTAGGTTTGCAAAATTTCTAAATAAAAATTTGGCAATAAAAATATAACGTGCTGATATTTTTAACCTTCTTTACCAGTGCAACTAAACTTCAGAGAATTTAAGAGAATGTGGAAATTATGTAAGACAAATTTAATATGTATTTAAAAATCTGAGAGAGATTGCAATCCTTATTTATTTATTTTTTTAGAATATTGAGGGTTGTTGTTCCTTTCCCCACTCCTCACCCTCGCCCTCATTCCAGAGAAACATGATTTGCAGCAGCTCTGGGTCTTAGGGGAGATGGCTAGCTGTGTAGCTGAAACATTGACCTAACATTGCCTCTGGGGTAAGGCAGGAACAGAGTATGAAGGAACACAATATACCCACCCGGTACTTCTTTTCTTTTACAAAAAACAGCTTCAAAACTGACCCGTTAGTTGACGTTAGAGATTTCTCAGTGCTTCAATTTCCCTGTCTATCGCACAGTAAAAATCTATAACTAAGAACTTCTTTAAAACATATTTGTGGGGATTTCTATTATTATTACTAAAAATAAAAGCAATCCAGTTTAAAGTTGCTTTTTTTTTGTAGTAACTGTTAAATGAGAAACTATTTTGTTCTGTAAGCCTTCATCTTAAGTGAGAATAACAGCACAATTGGAAGAGCATAGTCAATGTCACTGAACTGTGTATGGAGAAATTTTTGAAATGGTGTATCTTTGGCTATGCGTATTTTCACCAAAAAAAAAAAAAGGTTGAGAAGTTAGAGGGTTAATAT